TTTTTTTTTTTTTTTTTAGCATAAAAGCCTGCACTGCCACTGTGATTCCCTAACAGTCCCCCAGATCCTAAAGTGTAGCCCCTCAGGTCTCAGCTTCCCCCAGAGTGGCATTGGTTTGAGGCCTCTGCCCTGCCAGGGTGCAGCCACCAGGCCTGTCTTAGGGGCAGGGAACATTTCCTTGTCAGCCAGGCCCTAGGCCCATTTCCCTGAACCCCAGCGTCTTTTCACTCCTGCCAGAACCCAAACCTGAGCTGTAGGAAATGTGCATTGTTTTGTTTTTTAATCTGTGCATGATGAACCCACCTGGCTATCCTGAGATAGGCTGTCTGGCTGGGGGTCTGCCCACTTAGGGAGCTCCTTGGCCCTCCTTTGTGCCTCCCTCCTCTCATTTGCTCATCTCACTCTCTCACCTGAGACATCCTTCCATGGTTCAGGTCATCCCCACCTCGCCATCAAAATTAGCTGTGCCTGTGTCCCATCCTCAGAACCCCGCCTCTCCCCTCTGGCTAAGCTAATCCGCTGTGCGAGCTTAAGGGCTGAGCCCCTGCTCAGTGCCAAGCACTGTCTTCGGTGCTGGAAGTGCTAGGATGAAGCCTAGCGTCTGCCTTCTGGAAGCTCAGAGCCTGGGAGGGGAAGGCGGGAGTCAGACAAAACCAGAGAATTCCAGTCCCTGACGGCCACTTCCGCGAGAGGGTGTGCCAGAGCCCAGAGCGCAGGGACCACAGGGGAGGCCTGGGTGTGTCAGGAAGCTTCCACCAAACGGGGAGCGTCTGACTGGCATCTTGAAGGATTTGTAAGAGCTCGCGGTGGAGAGCATGGGAAAAGCTTTCCCAGCCGAGTGAACCCATCAGCCAAGACAAGGTGGGGCAGCCCAGGCTGTGGCCAGGAAGGAGTGAGCAGAGAATGAAGACTCAGCAGGTGACGCTAGAAAAGGTACAGATTCAGATCCCACGGGCCTTGAGTGCCGGGCGAGGGGGCTGGCAGTGATTCTGAACAAACAGCAACCAAGGGCCTACCGTATGCCTGACATGGTGCCACAAGGAGGGGAATGGATGGGGGGGCAAGACAGGCTATGCCATGATCTAGGTGAGCGATAATGGGGGTGCCCAGGCATGGGCAGGCAGCTCTGTTTATCATCTACCCCATGATGTCCACCTTTACCCAAAGGAATGGCTTATGGGAACTCGGAGCATTGGGGCCTCCGTTCACCTGTGGGGCTGTGTAGGCAGGACTTCCATTGCTCACTCCCCGAGGCCAGAAGAGCTGTGTGCTCGGTTCAAAGCACCCGGGAGAGAGGGCAAGTCATGGAGGGGTTAGTAGCTGCCCACGAAAGTTGAGTGCAAGGCCCAGGCAGCCTGGGTCGTGGGAAAGCCCAGAGACTCCCCCTCCCTCCCGGCACTCTGTCCTCAGATAGTGGCTCCGATGTGCACAGAGCTTTGCAAATCTCACAGTCATGTGAAAGTTTATCACCCTTGTTGCTGTGGAGACAGCTGGCCGCACACTTGGGCTGCCAGACACAGAGGCTCTGCCAGGACAGAGCTGAACCATGAGCCCCGTGGTCCCCCCATAACTGCCACGCCTCAGAGATGTGCAGGCTCACATGTCAGGTTCTCAGCAGCCTCTTGTCCTGGGATTGCACCTGCTCACCTTGATTGGGTTTGCAGTGCCCTGGCGAGCAAGGGGGCAAACGCCGGCACCCCTGAGAGTGCCCATCTCTTAGGCAGGCACACTCACACTGCCCTCAACCATCTCATGATGTCCGCTTTCACTGCCAAGAGCCTGTTGTGCTCTTACCACACCCCCAGTTCTGGGGCGCACGCCACCCCTCACTCTCTCACGCTGGCCAAACAAGTGAGATGGGAAGTGTCGCAAGTTCCCTTGAAGGAAGGCGGGTACCGCAGTGACTGAGGTCTAGACCTTAGAACTAGTCTGACCTGCACATCCCACCTCCTTCGCTCACCAGCCCGGTGACCTGTGACCGTGGGCCAGTTCCCTACATTCCCTGGGTCTCCTCTCCATGTGTAATATGAGCTGGTATCAGGACTTACACCGAAGACCTGGGGTCAGGGGTCAGCGAGATGGTCCAGGTAAAGCCAGTGGCCCGCATGACCAGAACTTGGTGCGGGTTTGCTCCTGTTACTGTCCTGGACCTTATTTTTTGTAGTTTTCTTCCTGATGAATCACTCCCAGAAGTAAAGGGCTCCTGGTGAGAGTCTAGAGGCCTGGCCCCATCACTAACAAGGGTGTCTGCACTGTGAATCTCTCAAATTAACACAATGGGCAAGACCTGGGTCCCCTGTTCCTGGAGGAGCTGCCTGCGTGAGCTCAGAGTAGCTGCAGGCCAACTGAAATTGTCCTCAAACATTGTGCCCTGTGCCCTTTTTGGAGGGTCCTGAGCTTCCGTCAGATTCCCCATAGGGCTTCGTACCCAGAAGTCAAGAACTCCTGAGCTAGTTGACCCCAGTGCCCTTGTGGCTTGGGCGTTCCATGGCCCTCCCTCAGGACACACCTGGCACTAACCAGATAGGGACAGATGTGCTTTGGTGGCCGTAGCCACGGGCTGAGCCTGAGGGCTAGATCAGGAGAAAGGCACGTGCTGGAACTGGCTCAGCAGTGCAGGAGCCACGGCGGGCAGCGGGCAGCTTCCTCCATTAACATTAAGATTGACCAGAGCCTGTCGTTCCGCAGTGGCCAGTGTTCCCCACTTAAACGGTCAGGTCCAAGCTCACTGGCCACAATCCATAGGTGTGTTCTTCCTACATAGAACGACTGTGGTGGCCAAAGCATCTTCCCTGCTGCGACCCCCATTCTAGAGACGACTACACAGGGGCCTAGAAAGATCAAGTAACCTGCCTCAGAGCCCCCAGCTGGCCAGCTGCAGGAACTCTGGGCTTTCTGTCCCCTCCATCCCTACACTGCCTGCGCCCTGTGTCATTGGTGCCCTCCAGGGTGGGCCCTCACACACCAAGGGACAGGACTGAAGCTGAGCCTGTCTCCACCTCAGCTTGGCCCCACCCCAGCACTTGTACAGGGAAGGGCCTCGCGGGGCTTCCCCTCTCTAGGCAGGAAGTGGTAGGAGAGGTTAAAACAGTCAAAGAGGGGAAAACAACCCAGGGAGCAGTGAAGTGAATGCTGTGACGGTCCACCCAGCCCTCCTGTGGTCCTGTCCCCATCCCGCTGACAACACCACCCCTGGCTAAGCGGGGCGCCCAGCTCCAGGACTGACCGCCGCCTCTTCTCTTGTTTCCACAGGTTTCTGGGAATCCTCTCTGAACCCCCGGCGAGCCAGTGGCAGCCCAGCAGAACCCCCAAGAGGCCCAGCCTCAGGGGCACCCCCAGCCTCCAGCCTCAGGTCTGCGTCCCATTCCAAAAACTGCTCCTGTGAAATTGAACTCTCCGCAGGAAATGACCGCTTGTGGTTTGTGAATCCCATCTTCATCGAGGACTGTGGCAGGGCCCTGCCTGCCAACCTGCCATCCCTTAGAAGCTACCCCTCTGGCCCGTTGCCTCCCACCTCTGACTCTACCTCACCCACCTCCAGGTGGGCTCCTCGCCGCCCAGCACCCCCTCCCCCAGGATCCCCTCTCCATCCCCTCAGTCCCACCCGGCCTCCTCCACTCCCTGCTCCAGCTCCGGTCCGTCCTTTGCCCAGTTCTCCCCCAGTGGCTTCTCCCCCACCTCCAGATGCCCTTCCTCCTGCATCCCCAGCATCTGACCCCCACCTGGCACCCCATACCCTAGACCCCCCAGACCATCCAAGCCAGCTACCCATGACAGCCTGTGAGAGGCTCCCATGCCCCCCTGCAGGCCTGGGTCCCCTCAGGGAGGAAGAGATGAAGCCAGGGGCAGCCCCTAGCCCCTTGCAGCAGGCCCCCGCCCCTCCAGGGCCTGTGAAGAAGGCTGTCCCTGCTGCTCCTCCCAGACGCCGAGTCTCCGAGAAACTCTCCCTGGAGGACCAGAGTCCTGAGAAGGCAGACAGGGGCACATCGGCGCAGTGGGACCAGCCAGCTCTTTCCAGGCCACCCCCACTCAGCCTGCCTCCCCAGGGGACCTCAGACAGTCCTGGGGACAGTCCTCAGAGGACCGCAGAGCAAGGACAGGAAGTAGTGGCCAAAGCCAGAGATCCAGGCAGTCTGCCAGAGTTGCCAAGGAAGATGCGGCAACCCCCAGTCCCGCCTCCTAGGAAGAAACGGATCTCCCGGCAACTGGCCTCGGCCCTCCCAAGCCCCTTGGAGAGCGCCGAGCTCTCCGCGGAGACCGTGGCCCATGAGAAACCCAGCCCCGGCCCACCCAGGGAAGGCCAGAGCCCTGCCTGCCACGCCGAGACGCAGAGCCCACAGGCCCAGGCCGGCGCCCAGCCCCAGAGCACTACGGAGTTCAAAGGCTCCCTGGCCTCCCTCTCGGACAGTGTGGGAGTGCCCACCTCGGCCACAGACCAGGACTCCTACTCGACCAGCAGCACGGAGGAGGAGCTGGAGCAGTTCAGCAGCCCCAGCGTGAAGAAGAAGCCCTCCATGATCCTGGGCAAGGCGCGGCACCGCCTGAGCCTCGTGAGCTTCACCAGCGTCTTCCAGGCCTTCCTCTCCAACGACCGCAAGCTGTACAAGAAGGTGGTGGAGCTGGCCCAGGACAAGTCCTCGTATTTCGGCAACCTGGTGCAGGACTACAAGGTGTACAGCCTGGAGATGATGGCCCGCCAGGCCTCCAGCACCGAGATGCTGCAGGAGATCCGCACCATGATGACCCAACTCAAGAGCTACCTGCTGCAGAGCACCGAGCTCAAGGCGCTGGTGGACCCCACCCTGCATTCCGAGGAGGAGCTGGGTCAGTCTGGGGCTGGGGCTGGGAGTGGGTGGCAGGGAGGGAGGGATCACCCCAGATAATCCACCCCCCCACCCCCCAGACTAACTGAACTAACCTGTCTGCTGTCTGCCTCGTGCTTCCAAGCTCAGCGCATGTGCCCAGGGAGACGGTGGGAGAACCTCAGCCCACATAAGGGGCTGGGCAGGACCCCACCCTCAGGATGCTCCCGGTTTTATTAGGGAGACAAGTCACAAGAGCAATTAGATGCAAACGGAGTACTAACTTGTGGCCCCAGAGGGCCAGAGTCGGTCTCTGCAGGAGACGTGGCAGTTCTCAAGGATGAAGGAACCCTGGAGGGCTGTGCTGAAGCCCTCTCATTTTACAGATGAGGAAACAATAGCTGAGGCCCTTCCCCTGGGGACAGGGTAGAGCCAAAAAGACTTCCCAAGAATACTTCTCTGCTGTCACTCAATGCAGTAAAATATCGCCCTGGTGTCAAGTAGATACGGGTCCAGATTTTTGTTCAGCCCCCAGCTAGCTGTGTGACCCACACCGTCAGAGCCTGAGCTGGTCCGTCTGCAGATCATGGCTTGTATGTTGCAGAGCTGCTGTGAGATCAAACCCAGTTGACTCCCATTCTACCAGATGATCAGGGTACCTCTTGGAGAAGATGACATTGGGACAGTGAAGGAATAAGCCATGTGGGTAGCTGTGAAGTGACTTCTCCAGGCAAAAGAATAGCAGGTGCAAAGGCCCTGAGGCAGGAGCAGGTGTGGCAGGTGGTGGAGCAGCAAGCAGACCAGTGTGGCTGGTGCAGCATGAGCATAGGGGAGTGAGCAAGGTGCTGAGTGAGAGAGGTCACAGGGACAGATCACCGAGGCGTCTTGAAGGGCACAGGGAAGACTTCGGTTTCTGTTGTCCATGAGATGGGAGCCATTGGAGGGTTCTTGGCACAGTAATGTCACGGTCAAACATGCCGTAACAGGATTATACTGGCTTCTGTGTTGACACTGTAAGGGGCCAGAGCAAGAGGCTACTAACATAACTCAGGCAAGAGATGATGGTAGCTCAGGTCAAGGTCAAGCCTTGGAAATGGTAAGAAGTCAGGTTCTAGATATACTGTATTCTTGAGACTGGAGTCAAGCGGATTTGGGAATTAAGAGAGACATCAAGAGTAATTCCACCAAACATTTACTGGGTACCCAGGACCTCCATGTACAACTACACACATTGTACACCGCGCAACTCCCATGTGAACAGTGCCCTCCAAAGCTGTGTACCAGAGGGTTCCCTGTGAGCGTTTAATCTGTGCCAGGCCCTGTGAAAAGCGTTAGGATAAAATGTATCAGCCCAAGGGCTCCCTGTGTGGCTTTCTGTGGAATGTACTGTACTGTCTCATGTGTCAGAACCACAGGTTGTGACTGCTGGGGCGGTAAGTATGTTTTTCCAGGATCAGAAGACAGGGATAGCCACACTGTTGGGCAACAAGGCCTGGTGGCAGGATCCCTGTCCCTAGTGTCCTCACCCTACTACTCTCACCCCCCTATAGAAGCGATAGTGGAGTCCGCCCTGTACAAGTGTGTCCTGAAGCCCCTGAAAGAAGCCATCGACTCGTGCCTGCGTGAGATCCACAGCAAGGATGGCTCACTGCAGCAGCTCAAGGAGAACCAGCTGGTGATCCTGGCCACCACCACCACCGACCTGGGGGTGACCACCAGTGTGCCCGAGGTGCCCGTCATGGAGAAGATCCTGCAGAAGTTCACCAGCATGCACAAGGCCTACTCGCCCGAGAAGAAGATAGCCATCCTGCTCAAGACCTGCAAGCTCATCTACGACTCTATGGCCCTCGGCAACCCAGGTAGGCGGGCAGGCAGAGGGGCCTGAGCTGGGGGCACTCTCCAAGCTGCGATGTTGTGTGGGTCCGTGTCTCTTCCCCTGCCAAGGCCTCCAGAGCCTTTGGAGGGCACTAGAGAAGCCTTTACAGATTCAGAGGCATGCTGGGCAGAACTGAGCATGGTGGGGACACAGTTCCTGAGCACCTTACAGAGTCACCTGGGTACCAGGAGGAGGGCCATGGTCAGCTGGAGGCAGGTAGGGAAACCAGCCCATACTGTGCCTTTGTGTGAATTTCGAAAAGGCGCTGTATTAGCTTCCTAGGGCTGCTGTAACCAGGTACCACAAACTGGATGACTTCAACAACAGAAGTGTTTTCTCCCACTGGAGGTAGGACGTTCGAGGTCAAGGTGTGAGCAGGGCCATGCTCCCCGTGAAGGCTCTAGGGAGGGATGGGTTCCAGGCCTCGCTCCCAGCCTCTGGTAGTTCTTGGCTTGTGGCAGCATCATTCCCGTCTTCACATGGCGTTTCCCATGTGTGCGTGTCTGTGTTCAAATGTCCTCTTTTTATAAGGGCATCGGATTGGATTAGGGGCCCAACCTACTGCAGTACAACCTCATCTTAACTGATTACGTCTGCAACAACTCTGTTTTCAAATAAGGTCACCTTCCAAGGTACTGAGGGTTAAGACCTCAACATATGAACTTTGGAGGGACACCGTTCACCCCATCACAGCCCCCTAAGCCAGCCAGCATGTGCTCTTGCTCACAGGTCGGTTGGGCAGTTACGCTGATCAGGTCAGGTGGCCCGAGCTGGCTGGGCTGGCTTGAGGGTCTGTGGTCAGAGGCTGGCTGGTCTAGGATGGCATTGCCCAGATGTTGGGTGGTTGATTGGCTCTTGACTGGTCTGGAGTGGCAGACACCGGGCCACACGTTTCTCATGCACCAGCGGGTTAGCCCAGGCTTGTGCCCATGGCAGTGGTTGGTGGTCCAAGAGAACAAGCAAAGCCCGTGAGGCCTCTCGGGGCCTGGGCTTGACCTGGCACGGTGCCACTCTGAAGCAGTTCATCGACGTGTTTACTCACAAGACCAGACCAGCATCAAGGGGTGAGGAACTAGACTCCCCTTCTTGATGGGAAGAGCCAAGAGTCTCAAAGGGTGCAGATGCAGGGAGGGGACTCACTGAGACCTTATATAGTCAGCTTATCACCGCTGTCCTGCAGGAGACAAGAGTGGGCACCGCGACACCAGGGCGCACACCCGTCAGCAGAGCGCTGGCCGGACTTTGTGCCCCAGCCACCCCTCCAGCGGGGCACCCTGTGCAGCAAGCAGTACTTTTCTAAGAATAGGGAAATTCTCCTACAGAACCACAGTAAAGTCTGCTTTGCAAATTTGCAGTGATACAATATTTTTATCTAAGCCACCATCTGTATTCCAGGTTGTCGCTTGATCTGACAAGGTCATCGTTAGCATTTCTTCCTCCAGCTCAGCATCCAGGGTCATGTATTACATTTAGTGTTGTGGGCCCTTTACCTCCTTTCCTTTGGGACATTTCCAGAGCCTTTCTTCGTCTTTTATGACATTGGTATTTTTAAAGAATACAGATTTCCCTCCCCATCCCCCACCATTTTTATTTTATTTATTTTTACTTCTTTTTATATTTATTTGATGCTGAATTTACTCCCAGCCATGAGTTTTTGTTTCTTCAGTTTCTTCTGGGACATCTTTTTCTTCTGTGCAGCCTTGTCTCCTGGTTTAGGAACAAGCTGCTCTTTTTCAGTCGGGTTATCAGTGGGGCAGGGAGAGCTCGTGTGTGGGGTCACCCGCCCATGGGCTCTGTAAGTTCTGTGCCCCATCGCGGGAGCTTCGCTCACCTGCATGTGCCCAATGACCAGGGAATCTGCATCTACACCCTGAAGTTCAGCATTGCTCGCTGCATTTTTAAGCACATGCAGCAAAAATTCAGCACTCTTTTGGAGCCACCGACCCCATGTCCAGCCCCACTCTTTGGCCTGGGCACACCTACCAACCCCACCATTGTAATGACAGAATGGCACACGTCGCTCTGGAAAGTGGCATCCTCAGATACTTGGTGGCCTTTTGAATATACATACCCTTGGTGGCCTGGGCAGTCTCTCAGGTGTTCTTAAAGTGAACAGGAGATTGGAACCTCGTGATTTGCATGATTTTGTAGGGCCTTCTGGGTCAAGTGAACAGCAAACCATTTTCAGAGGTCACCTCTGGCCGCTTTCGGGAAGAGAAAGACCCACTTTTTCTTTCTAATGAAAGTTCCTCATTTTGTGTTTGTCAGACAGTTCCTCGTGACAGATAGAGGCTATGTTTTTTCAGCCAGATCCCGGCTGACATTCAGCCACCTTAGGACTAGGCCCGTTACCCCAAACATTCAATCCACACCTCCCTCCCACCAGACGCTGCCAGTGGCTGAATGCTCAAAGTGGTCCGCACACCCGCAGCCCTGCAAAGGAGCCCTGGGGGACGTCGGCCACCCCGTGGAGGGCAGAAACCAGCTTGGGTCCTGCCACTGACCCACTAAGCAGGAGTCAGC